CAGCGCTACTCGCACATGTGCAGTGGGCACCCAGCTGTGAAGCTCTCCCAGCCGAATGCCCACACTGAAGATGCTGGCGCCTGGAATACAGGATGGCCGGTGAAACAGGCTGCGGCGGGGGCAATGCAGGAACGTGGGACAGGTGAGTGGCTTTTTTTTAAAGTCAGCAGCTACAGTACCGCACCCGCACCAAAAACATGCAGGACCCTTTTTTTGGATCCGCACTAGAATCAGATCGCATGGGTATTCCCACCTATGCGATCTGATTCTGAACACCGCACTGCGTTATTATCGGGGGTGTAGTTGACTTAACATACACATCCGAAGCGGTTCGCATGAACGGGGTGCGATTCTAAAGCGGTGCGGAATTCTCAGAGAAAACGCTGCGAATTCCGCACCGCATCAGTGTAAACCAGGGCTTAATATTATAACTCACGCAGTATTTTAGTAGCTGTGCAGTATTCTAACACATGCTCAGATGCGGTAAGATACCGCTTAGCGAATTCTCCCCGTTTGATGTTTGGACTCCGTGTGATGATTGGGATGATGTATGGGAATTTCCCTTTAAAATACTGGTATCCCTGAGAGACCGCCTCATACAATTTTAAATTGTTCATAGGGAGACCTTACCCCTCACAGATTGCAAAAAATGAATCCCTCTTCTTCTCCAAAGTGCAATTTCTACTTTCTGGATGCAGATAATGACTATTGTTAACCTTGTGGTGGATATTCCATCCCCCCGAGTCTGCTTGTTAGGTTTAATAGAAGATATAGTTTCTGGGGTGGCGGACAGGACACTTGTGGGTCTTTTATTGTTTTACGGCAGAAAAGTCATCCATTACTCTGTGCTGGATAAAGGTGGGCTTCCCCTGCCCTCACTTTCTGGAAACAGCAGGTTAAAGCAGAGCTCCACCCAAAAGGGGAAGTTCCGCTTTAAGCTTTTGCCCCAACCCCTGCTCCCCATTAAGGATTGGCACCTTTGGGGAGCGGGTACCTGAATTTTACAGGTACTCGCTCCCACTTCCGCTGTGATAAGGCAATCGGAAAATAAGTTGTCCTACCTCCCTCCCTCCCCGTAGTCTTCTGGGACACGTGACAGGTCCCAGAAGACTACGGGGCCATGCACAAAGTGCAGCGCTTCTCGCACATGCTCAGTGGGCACCATGGCTGTGAAGCCACAAGCTGTCACAGCCGGGTGCCCACACTGAAGATGGCGGCACCAGGGAGAGAAGACGGCCGGTGAAACCAGCCATGGTGAGGATACCGCTGGACCGAGGGACAGGTAAGTGTCTGTATTTTAACTACTTGCCAACCGCAGATAGCCTAATGATGGCTACACTGCGGCCGGGCCAGTTCTGGGAGGGCGTCATATGACGTCCTCCCAGAACGCGCTCTCCAGGGGCGCGCACCCGGCGATCTCCGTGATTGTTGTGTCCCACGGACACAGCTGATCATGTTATGTGGTAAAAGGCCAATCACAGCGGCCTTTTACCACGTGATCAGCCGTGTCCAATGACACTCTGATCACCGGGAAATGCAATTGCTGGTTTCTCGCCTGCACTTTCCTCACGCTGTCAGAGCGTGAGGAAAGAACTGCCGAGAACCGGCAGTTGTCAGAGCAGGGATCGGCACCGATCATCAGGGCACTTATGATCAGTGCCCTGATGATCAGTGCCCAGCAGTGCCACCTACCAGTTCCGCCCACCTGTGCCTAGCAGTGCCCCCTCCTGTGTCCAGCAGTGCCACACACCTGTGCCCACTCACCTGTGCCACGCACCTGTGACCACCAGTGCCACCCACCAGTGCCCATCAGTGCATCCCAGCAGTGCTGCCAGTAAGTTCCACCAGTCAGTGCCCAGCGGTTGTGCCAGTCAATGCCTAGCAGTGCCGCCAGTCAGTGCCCAGCAGTGACGCCAGTCAGTGCCACCTACCAGTGCTGTCTATCAGTGCCACCTATCAGTGCCGCCTATCCGTTCCACCTCATTAGTGCCGCCTATCAGTGCCCATCAGTGCTGCCTATCAGTGCCCATCAGTGCCGCCTATCAGTGCCCATCAGTGCCGCCTATCAGTGCCCAATCAGTGCCCATCAGTGCTGCCTCATCAACGTACATCAGTGAAGGAGAAAAATTACCTGTTTGAAAAATGTTATAATAGAAACAAAGAAACTTTTTTTTTTTTTTCAAATTTTTTGCAATTTTTTTGTTTATAGCACAAAAAGTAAAGTGCCCACCAAAAGTAAAGCTCTATTTGTGAGAAAAAAATGATAAAATTTTCATATGGGTACAGTGTTGCATGACCGCACAATTGTCAATCAAAGTGCGACAGAGCTGAAAGCTGAAAATTGGCCTGGACAGGAGGGGGGTATAAGTGCCCGGTAGGTGAGGGGTTAAAAGCCAACAGCTACAGTTTTTGTAGCTGCTGACTTTTAATTTTTTTTTTTTCAGCTGGAACTCGGCTTTAATGCCATTTTATCCTTCTACAAAGAGGGTGTCCTAAAAAATACAATAGAGGGTTAGTGGAAACCTCAACAGCTACCGACCCTTGACCTCCGTTCTATTCATGTGTGTCCTGGAGCCTCCTTTCTGGTAGTTTGGGGGTCTCGGGTACTTGGGATGTTCTGTCTTATTATCCTAACTCGGTCACGACCAGCAGCACTTGTTTTATGTTTCTTCTTGTTTTGTTAGTTTTGATTGCAGGCCGAAACTCTGACAACTTTTCATGCTTTTCACTGAGATGCCCCTATGTCGGCTAAGTGCCTGAAGATGTACAGTACATGTTTTTCTTCAGTGAATGTTCTTGTTCAAAAAATTTTTAAAAAGAATTATGAAAAAAAAATTATGTTGGATGTTAAGTGTCACTAAACCCATAACAGTACAATCAGTCTGTAGATGCAGTAAAGCGTGCTTGTTATACTCACTGTGGAACCTAAGGGGTTAATCCTCCGCATTGTGTAAAAAGGCTGTTTGATCCTGACTTCTATGATCCTGCCCTTCTTCCAGTGTCCCCCTCTTCTCTCCTGATAAGACATATTGTATGGAGTCACTCTGCACATGCGCAGTTTGGTGTGTATTGCTAGAGAGTTTTTTTTTCTTGGGAGAGTGCATGTGATCCGCACAGGGCCAATCAGCACTGTCCAGACAGAGGTCAGGGGTCCTGCATCCTCCTAGAGCAAAATGAAAACTCCTCCTACAAGCCTTACCATGTGCTCAGCTGGACACTGATAGAAGTCACAAGACTGCTCTAACTGCTGATGAGAAAAGGTATTTAGCAGTTTATATTTACTAACATAATTGCACTTCCATGTTATGTGCACTGTGGAAGACCAGATATAGTGAATGCGGGGTCCGGGGAGACCGGATATAGTGAATGCAGGTCCGGGGAGACCAGATATAGTGAATGCAGGGTCCGGGGAGACCAGATATAGTGAATGCAGGGTCCGGGGAGACCAGATATAGTGAATGCAGGGTCCGGGGAGACCAGATATTGTGAATGCAGGGTCCGGGGAGACCGGATATAGTGAATGTAGGGTCCGGGGAGAGCGGATATAGTGAATGCAGGGCCCAAGGAGACCAGATATAGTGAATGCGGGGTCCGGGGAGACCAGATATAGTGAATGCAGGTCCAGGGAGACCAGATATAGTGAATGCAGGGACCAGGGAGACGGATATAGTGAATGTAGGGTCCGGGGAGAGCGGATATAGTGAATGCAGGTCCGGGGAGACCAGATATAGTGAATGCAGGGACCAGGGAGACCGGATATAGTGAATGCAGGGTCCTGGGGAGAGAGAGCGGATATAGTGAATGCAGGGACCAAGGAGACTGGATATAGTGAATGCAAGGGTCCGGGGGAGACCAGATATAGTGAATGCAAGGCCCTGGGGAGACCAGATATAGTGAATGCAGGGACCAGGGGAGGACCGGATATAGTGAATGCAGGGTCCGGGGAGAGCGGATATAGTGAATGCAGGGCCCAGGAGACCGGATATAATGAATTCAGGGTCCGGGGAGGCCAGATATAGTGAATGCAGGGTCCTAGGAGACCAATATAGTGAATGCAGGGTCCGGGGAGACCAGATATAGTGAATGCAGGGTCCGGGGAGGCCAGATATAGTGAATGCAGGGTCCTAGGGAGACCAGATATAGTGAATGCAGGGTCCGGGGAGACCGGATATAGTGAATGCGGGGTCCGGGGAGACCAGATATAGTGAATGCAGGGCCCGGGGAGACCAGATATAGTGAATGCAGGGTCCGGGGAGAGACCAGATATAATAAATTCAGGGTCCGGAGAGAGCAGATATAGGGAATGCAGGGTCCGGGGAGACTAGATATAGTGAATGCAGGGTCCTAGGAGACCGGATATAGTGAATGCAGGGTCCGGGGAGACCAGATATAGTGAATGCAGGATCCGGGGAGAGCGGATATAGTGAATGCAGGGTCCGGGGAGAGCGGATATAGTGAATGCAGGGTCCGGGGAGACCGGATATAGTGAATGCAGGGTCCGGGGAGACCGGATATAGTAAATGCAGGGTCCGGGGAGACCGGATATAGTGAATGCAGGGTCCGGGGAGACCGGATATAGTGAATGCTGGGTCTGGAGGGACCGGATATAGTGAATGCAGGGTCCGGGGAGACCAGATATTGTGAATGCTGGGTCTGGAGGGACCGGATATAGTGAATGCAGGGTCCGGGGGGGAGACCGGAAATAGTGAATGCAGGGTTCGGGAAGACCGGATATAGTGAATGCAGGGTCCTAGGAGACCGGATATAGTGAATGCAGGGTCCGGGGAGACCAGATATAGTGAATGCAGGATCTGGGGAGACTGGATATAGTGAATGCAGGGTCCGGGGAGACCAGATATAGTGAATGCAGGGTTCGGGGTGACCAGATATAGTGAATGCAAGGTCCGGGGAGACCAGATATAGTGAATGCAGGGTCCAGGGAGACCAGATATAGTGAATGCAGGGCCCGGGGAGACCGGATAATGAATTCATGGTCCAGGGAGACCAGATATAGTGAATGCAGGGTCCTAGGAGACCAGATATAGTGAATGCAGGGTCCTAGGAGACTAGATATAGTGAATGCAGGGTTCGGGGAGACCAGATATAGTGAATGCAGGGTCCGGGGAGACCGGATATAGTGAATGCAGGGTCCAGGGAGACCAGATATAGTGAATGCAGGGTCCGGGGAGAGCAGATATAGTGAATGCAGGGTCCGGGGAGACCAGATATAGTGAATGCGGGGTCCGGGGAGAACAGATATAGTGAATGCAGGGTCCGGGGTTTAGTAACACTTTAACTTCTGTGTCTTATTGGAGAGTTAAGCTGCCTGTGGATGGTGCCAAGTCAGCAACTGTCCAGAAAGACTGGGTCTAAGGAGGGATATCAATGTGTAAAGAGGCATTTAAAATTGAACAACAGGAGAGGAACCTGTACAACTGCGCACGATTAAAGGGAAAGCCGGAGTTCAGATTTAATGATGACCTTCTCTCATAGTTTATTTTGCGTTTGATAAATCTGGATTCAGTTTCGGTCCTGGTAGCAGAGAGAGCCGTAGGATTTGATTCCAGCTCTTCTCATTGCTGTACCAGAGGTACAAGACAAATCGTTAACTCCAGGCGGCCAGGTCTCTCCCATTACTAGCTGCAAATAACGTGGTGCAGACGAAGAACCGTGTACCCGGATGGGAGGCCGCTTGGCGCAGCTCTTGATGTAAGCAGTGGGATCTGAAGTCACGTCAAACACTTCAGTAATTGCGCTGCGGACTTTCATCTGGAGCAGAAGGGAGGCAGCTCAGTGTTAGAATTCTTCTTTTAAATGTCCACACGGGTGTTACTTTGTGTGATATGTTTATGAGGAATGGGAATCAAATGACGTACACCCCCACACTGCCAGCACATAAAGTGGACTGAGTATATTATTGTATATTATTGTATATTATAGTATATTTTTTCATTTATGCATGACTATTGTACCAGAGATAGGCTTGTCCACGCCCCATTACCACCATGACCATTCTGTACAAACCCCCCTCCCCTCAACCAATTATAGTTACAAAAAACATGACACCAATTTTGGAGTAAATGGCCAACATGGTCTTTTATTAACAACACAAATTTAAATACACCAACCATTCCTTATAACAGAAACCCAAAGAATTGTTGTTGGTCTTCGAAGGCACCCCCAAACAATCCGAAATGCACCTGCGGACAACACTATACACTAGGCCTCCAGCCGCAACCAACCAGCTCAGAGACAACCATACCGTCCGCAGTGCAGCACCACCACCTTCCAGTTAAACCTTGGTTAACTGGGAATGTCCACCGGGCCCCCATACCACCGATGGGTCCCACACCATTGTTTTACCTTCCAAGATAAGAACCGCCTCCAAAGACCAACAACCGCCCAGGAACCAACATAATCCCCCTTTACCTGGAGGGACCCAAAACTCACCAAAAACAGGGAGGGCGGGAGGGAAGCTCTCACTCCTGACGTCCAGCTCAACTGACGCCCCCTCACTGAAACCCCCCACCCTAAGTTGCAGGAAACCCCACCTACTCTCAACCTTCCACCAACCAAATACCCCCACTATCAAAAGAAACCCCTTGGATCTGCCTTAACCCTTTCTGTTCCTCCTTTCCCACTCTGGGCCTAGTCATGTATTCCCTGCGCCATTTCTTCTTTCTTTTTTGCTACGGGCATTTCTTACTAAGTAATGTGTCAGGGTAACATTTGTAGGTATTTATCTCTAGCAGAGATCACAGTTCTCCCCTGAGAATGCCTTCATCTGATTTGGTCTCCAGAAGGACGGCGCCATCTTTGTTCAGGCACCATCTGGGGTCACCATCACGCTCCTGGAATGAGATGCCGGCACACGTATCCCAGTGCCTGTGTTCACAAATATACAATATATCAACCGACTTAAATAAACTCAAAAGTCCCAAAAGCAAAGTGTCCAAAATCTCAAATAAAAACCCAAATAAAATGTCCAAAGTGATATCCGAATCTTGATGAATAGGTGCTCACTACTCCAAAATGAAGATAAATCTCAGACGTTCTTCATATACCTCAAAAAAAAACAAAATCCTAAATATAGTAATATCAGCATGTGATCAAACAATAGGCATGGAACAGGGGCGGACTGACCATTTGGAGACTCAGGCACTGCCCGAGGGCCCGGGGTCAGTAGGGGGCCCCATGAGATGCCCCTGGTACCTTTTTCATAGGCTTTTTTGAGTTTGGGCAAGGACACAGGGGCCCCATGATCCCCTATTGCCCAGGGGCCCCATGAGTTGTCAGTCCGCCCCTGCCATGGAATATCCTCAAACTGGCATCCTCTTGTTCAGCCACTTCCTTTGGACCTCACAAACAGACCAGGAATCAGTATGTGAAAAATAGTATATAGATTTTATTGTAGCCACTTACATTAAAAACTGGTAAAAACGACTTCCTGCTCCTGACGACAAGTGTATAGCCACATTGTGGCATCAAATGGTCTCCCAATCACCGGGGAGTTGCACCGCCACAATCCTTCCCACCACTGTCATTTCAGCTCTGGAAGAGCGCCAGGAGTACACCTCGAGTCCCAGGAATGCCAAAACACAAGCGCTCCAGAATCCAAAATGGCCGCCGCGGCACTTCCGGGAACGTCAATACGTCACGTGCCCTGGACGCGTTTCGTCACTTCTGGACTTTGTCAACAAGGATACGGACATACGGTTCCAGCTCCTTAAATACCCACTAGTAACCGGGCGGAAAGCTCACAGCGGCCATATTACAAAGTGGAGATTAAAATATATCACTATATAACTATAGTTATTTCATGTGTTCACAAATGTCTGTCACAGATCAGCCCCTGCTGCAAATTCTAACCTTGTGACTTGCTACAGGGCAGCACAGTGGCTAAATGGTTAGCACTTCCGTCTGGCAGTACTAGGGGCTGTTGGTTCGAATCCCAACCACGGCACCACCTGCCTGGAGTTTGCATGTTCTCCCTGTGCCTGCGTGGGTTTCCTCCGGGTACTCCGGTTTCCTCCACACTCCAAAGACATGCTGGTAGGTTAACTGGCTCCTGTCTAAATTGTCCCTAGTATGTGTATGTATGAATGTGAGTTAGGGACCTTAGATTGTACGCCCCTTGAGGGTTAGGGACTGATGTGAATGTACAATATATATGTAAAGTGCTGTGTAAATTGACGGTGCTATATAAGTACCTGAAATAAATAAATTTGCTGATCAATGAAGGAGAGGAGACTGAGGAAATGCTTCCTCCTGCCTGCAGCATCATCTCAGAGTAGGCAAAGCCACTGGAGCTCACATACTGGCATGTGCACAGCACAGAATCATATAACAAGTGGCTTCAGACTCAACAGATCATAAAAAACTTGGATTAACCATTCTGGACCTTCGATGAGAAGTACCTTCTAAAAACTATATCTGAGTGCTTCGGGATGCACAAGTATTAGCCCCCCGCCTCCCCCCAAAGCTCTTTTGCTGGTAAAATCAACAGGACCAACTGGGTCTTGCCGATTTGTGGTGGAACACTTTTCAATGGGCGCTTGGCAGGCAGTGGGGGGGGGGGGGGGGGGGGGGGGGGAAAGGGGTTATTTACTAAAACTGGAGAGTGCAAAATCTGGTGCAGCTCTGCATAGAAACCAATCAGCTTCCAGGTTTTATTGCCAAAGCTTAATTGAACAAGCTGATTGGCTCCCATGCACAGCTGCACCAAATGTGCTCCAGTTTTAGTAAATCTCCCCCAATATGTCACCTCATCGCTGCCCTATAAATGCCACACTACTGCGTTGGATCCAAAAGACTTAGTCCTCATGCACACTGGGGGGGGGTGGTTTGATAACGCTGGTGACCTTAGCTGTGTAAAGTCACAATAAAAACCTGAGTTTTCTGCTTTTTTTAGCATTTTTGCATTAGCGTTTACCAGCGTTTTCCCGCTTTTGCATTTTTTAGCTTTTTTGGGTCAAAAAAATGTCAGTTTGCAGCGGTCTACTGCATTTTGCTGTATTTTTTAGCATTAGAGAGTTTTTACTAAAAAACTCCTCTAGAAACCACTAGTTCTGTTTTTTTTCCAGCCAAAAAACATCCCTGCCAAAAAACGCTGATTACGGTGTATGTGTGCATGGACACATAGGATAACACGCTGAGGATGGACACATAGGATAACACGCCGGGGATGGACACATAGGATAACACGCTGGGATGGACACATAGGATAACACGCCTGAGGATGGACACATAGGATAACATGCCGGAGATGGACACATAGGATAACACGCCGGGGATGGACACATAGGATAACATGCCGGGGATGGACACATAGGATAACACGCCGGGGATGGACACATAGGATAACATGGGATGGACACATAGGATAACACGCCGGGGACACATAGGATAACACGCTGGGGGATGGACACATAGGATAACATGCTGGGGATGGACACATAGGATAACACGCGGGGATGGACACATAGGATAACATGCCGGGGATGGACACATAGGATAACACGCCGGGGATGGACACATAGGATAACACGCCGGGGATGGACACATAGGATAACACGCCGGGGATGGACACATAGGATAACACGCCGGAGATGGACACATAGGATAACACGCCGGGGATGGACACATAGGATAACACGCCGGGGATGGACACATAGGATAACATGCCGGGGATGGACACATAGGATAACACGCCGGGGATGGACACATAGGATAACACGCCGGGGATGGACACATAGGATAACACGCCGGGGATGGACACATAGGATAACATGCCGGGGATGGACACATAGGAGAACACGCCGGGGATGGACACATACGATAACATGCCGGGGATGGACACATAGGATAACATGCCGGGGATGGACACATAGGATAACATGCTGGGGATGGACACATAGGATAACACGCCGGGGATGGACACATAGGATAACACGCCGGGGGGGATGGACACATAGGATAACTCGACACCTCCAGCACTGAATGTATGTAATGGCAAGGGATGCTGGGGTGTGCTGGAGGGTCTATTGATGCTGGCTGCTTGGGATCTATTGTTGCAGGGGGATCTATTGTGCTAGTGGGGATCTATTGTTGCTGGGGAATCAATTGTTGTTGGGATGGATCTACTGTTGAGAAAGGGGTCTATTATTGCTAATTGCTGGAAGGTCTATTGATGTTGGCTGATGGGAGATCTGTTGCTGCTGGAGGGTTGTCTATTGTTGCTAGCTGCAGGGATCTCTTTTACTGCTTTTCTTGTTACCATTAAATTCCATAAAAATTACTTAGCACCACATAATTATACTCGCTTCTGTATTCTCTAAAAGGGCGGTACTGGGAGGGGGTGTAACCAAGGAACAGTGCTTGGAGGTGGTTAGAGGGTGGAAC